AAAGTCGCAGCTCGAAAGGAAGTCAATACTGGGAAAAGCTATTCTGAAAGAGAAGACGGCATGTCAAATGTAGAATCGGAACCGAAACTCCGTCGTGTAAACCAAGCTGCGAGCCGCTCCATCTTCGGTCGGTGCACAGCCCCCCTGACTGGAGGAGAATGATGCACTAAAATGAAAGCGGGAAAGAGAAGTCCTGTGAGGAATAGCGGCAGTGCTGCACGGCTTGAAGCCACCTGATGGGCAAATGATGTCTCTGAAATGATGCCTTTTGCCAAAGTGGTTTCTTCACCATACAACACTTCTTTTCTTTTTCTTTGTTTTTTTAACGTTCACCTGTTTCCAGAAAGTTCACCAGAAAGAAAGACTTTTCCTGATGACTTTGTCTTTCCTACCTGTGACCCTTTTTCTAAAATTGATGTTTAGAGTTTCGTTTTTTAACCTTCTTGTGTCTTCCTGAAGCAGCTCCGGCGGGGGGGTCACCGACCCTGTAAACCGTTCTAAATGGATGCATTAGTCGATGCACTTGGTAACTTTGGCCCCGCCGAGCTGAATCCGAGTTTCATTAAAGGCAGCTGTTATAATTGACCCAGTAGCTGCAAACACAGCGCAGATGCTGCCGCTGCTGAGAGGTGTATGGGCGAATGTTGCGCATTTTAACAGTACAGAATCTTCACCTGGATGACTGAGCTGCCGGAGCGACACGCCCTAGAGATAGAAAGGTGAAACTTGGAACTCAGATTTTGGAGGAAAGAAAAAAAAAGCTCCAAAAAAAAAAAAAACAATACCGAAATCCAAAATGGAAAGCAATTACAGGAAGTCTTTACTTGCGGTGAACAATATGAAAACACGAGAAGTGTAAAAAGGGTTTGGGAGGCGAACAAGCCCTTTAGGATGCCAGCCACGACGCTAATGTTGAAATTCCTGCAAGGAGGAAGGAGAGCTGTTGGTAGAAACGATGGCTAGAATTTATTGCCGAGGAAAAGAGCGGCTTGTCAGAAGTGGGATTTGAACCCACGCCTCCATCTGGAGACCAGAAATCCCCCAGCAGGGAAAGAGCGACGCTCTTGAGTCTGGCGCCTTAGACCACTCGGCCATCCTGACAGTAGCCGGCGACAGGGTCTAACGGGGACTGAGACATTCTAAAGAGAAATTAGGCGGCACAAGCTCTTTTCAGTGGAAATTTACAGCATGAGCGAGTGAGAGAGCGCTTTCAGGCAAACTCTGTTGAAACGGGTCCCCTGCAATTTACATCCCAGAGGTTAAAATGCGATTGAATAGAATCCAGTCGTGCC